AACAGGAAAATGATGACTCCAGAAGAGTAAACGTGACGAGCGTTCCCGTGCGAGAACTATTGCATGTTCTTTACGTACCTCAAGAAAAGCGATTCTAAGCCAAAAAATAATAAAACTATGTATTCACCTGAGTAATAAATCCTATTTTTTCCATATTTTTGAAATCGTTAAATTTTATGTTTAATTCATATTTTCAGAATAATAATTTCCCTTCTTGAACTGTGTTGTCAATAAACTTGTAGACTAAAATTAGCAGAGTTGGCAGAGTAGAGAGTAGCAGAGTTAGCAGTATTGACTAACATTGGCAGAGTTGGAAAATTGAGGAGTGAACGATAAAAACAAACAAATAGATTTTGAATAAGAATAATATACATGTTTATTGCTTAGTAGGTCTGTATGGTGTGGTATATCCGTGTACGTTTTCTTTAGCCTTCGTTTCGCTAATTGCTAAAGAAGTAGATATTTTTTATGATTTAAGTTATTTTGACAAAAATAATTTTATGTCATATTTTTAGTTCGTTTTTCGGTGCAAATAATTTCATTACACGGGAGCAAACATTTCTGGTTATATTTTGTCTACAACGCTCTTTTCTATCATTTATTCTTCATTCATGTTGGAAAAGGAGTGGGGGTAGATATTCCGGGGCTGAAGAAAACACATGCGCGCGTTCTTGAGTTTACCAAGAATACTTCATACCAAGTGTATGAGTAATTTATGTTATGTCACAAACTTGTCACAGAAACAAGAATATGAATACTTGCATTCGTTTGTTGCGTGGGAATCCTTCCGATGAAGGCAGGAATACTATTTTTTCTAAAGGTTTCGTGAAACTGAAACTTGAGAACATGTGGTCCGTTTCCATCGTAGTTCCCTCCACAATTAGGTACAGAGCACTTTTAGATTACGGCAAAACAAATGAATACTACTACTCACGCGCATTACGCGCATAAAAACAATCTTCCTTGGTATCAAGGAATTATTAATAGTTGTTGCTGCGAGAGCGAATCTTGAATTAAAAATTATGCAAATAATCCTCATCTGTCTGCGCAAACCACGTTGTGCACGGAAAGTGTAAATAGTACAAGATAAAGGAATCTAAGCATTCAAAGCATGACGTCATAACGATGGACATAATCACCAAATGTTGAAATATAGGGTGCATTGGTAGTATTCGATAAGTACCAAACAGGCAAAAAATTCAATGGAATGTCCATGAATATCTCATCTACCTATCATGTAGATTACTATGTGAGGAACGTTTCATTTAGGCCTTTGGTCTCATCATTTTAGTTTTTAAGACCCTAAAACGCTTTGTTTAGGAGTTATTTAACGATTTAACTGACTGAACGCTGATGGTTGCATTTCACATGAATATTTAGATGCGTTTTTTCAACAAATCCTTTATATTTCTAAAGTAAAAATACAATTTGTCACGTCCCCGTAAAATTATATTTCTTTAGAGACCTCATTTATAAATATTGGTTGTGAGAGAGAGCTCCAATAGGTATGTATACTACTGAAATACTATAGGAGACGATATTCATTACCATTTACAAGGAAAACGACACCTTAAAAACAAGCAAAATCCATCAAATCCTCAGATGCCAAAGTGTAATAGATCGGCGGGTAGTTAAATGTTTAAAAGTTGTATTAGTGCTTTCATGTTCGAACTCAACATACATTTTTAACATATTAGAGTTGCTCAGTACGTCTATTTCTAGTCGTCGCTTTTCCTGTGTTCCGATGAAGTATGAATGGAAATGGAACTCTATTTAAACTGCGATGTATATGTTTCTCCTTTATGCTGTAATACAGTAATAATTTGTTTTGCTCTGCATGTCTTTATTTCCTTTCTTTGGAAATTAATACCTACAAAATAGGAACAGATGTCATTATGGATGCTGTGACGCTTTTAGCGAATTCTAAGAGTGGACATTATGGACATTAGTCGTCTATTGAAGACTCGTGAACTACTTATATTCTTTTTTATCACTTAAATTATGATTGCCTGTAATACGATTCATTGATAATGTCTCCAAATATAATTTCAAGACATTCACTTTTCTTAAGACAGTAACATTTTTTAACAGTAATAGTAAAAATTTTCATAAAACATGTAGAATAAATGTCAGTGAATTTATAAACCTAAAGTATTTAAAAACATTGTAGTGTAGTAACTTCATATTTATTTATATAACAGTTCATATGATAATAACTTAAACTAATGAGAATAAAAGCTGCCAATTTGTACCTAAAAATGGAAACACACTTGATCTCCGAAAAGTAATTTCGAATAAATTATTACAATTTATTAAGAAAATTTTTATTATAACTGTTAAAAAAGTTACTGCCTCAAGAAAAAATTTTAAAAATTGAATTTGGAAACCATATCAAGAATACTTACATTCTTACATCGTAGGTGTGATACTAAACAAAGGCTTATCTGGATGTCTGTTCTCAGTCATCTCTCCCTATTTTGTAAGAGTTAACAAACGTTTGAAGTGTAGAAATTAATACAAAAGAAGGAATGATCGTAGAAATGAATTGACTAAGTAATGGCGCAAATGTCCCTTATGAAGGCGGTAGGCAAAGATAATCTTGGTGTTGTTTTGGATTGTTTCGTCCAACCAGACGAAAGTTGCGAATAAACGTGTTTCATAAACGTCTCTCATAGACTCTGCCCTGTTCCCAAGAACTTAAGAAAACAGTTTCATGATTATTATCTCACGCAAAAATAAATTAGTGATGCTCGAATACGTAGGAAGGACGTGCTGATGACAGGATATTTAGTAATCGATTAGGCACTTTACCCACTCTAGGTACCTTCGCGAGCCAGCCCGTTTAAGAACTTGGTAAGTCTTCTAACTTGCAGAATATTGGACAAATTTTCAGAAATGTAGCGGTGAGTCTTTGGAGGTAACGTTTTTACAGCTTTAAAGGAATTATTAAGTGAAAGGGTTTTGCTCAGTTCCAAACCCTCTATTTTATTTTCCGACTCCAGCATATAACGCATAAATTAATGATCACTGGCATTATAAATCATGCCAAAAATATAGTTCATCACAACTAACAGCTTTGACTCCTTGTTTCGAGCAAAGGACATAGAACTTTTTAAAATTTGATAGATTTTTAATAAAGTAACAAAAATATCAAAATAAAAAGACAATATCTGTTAGGAAAGACATGTACACCCAGCTAAGTACACCTAGAAAGATGTACAACAGAAAAAGTACACCCAGCTGGAATGCACTTCGAGCGAGAAATAAAATCACGGATGTTGGAGAATAGAAATGTACATCTTTGAAGTTATTCTATATCAATGCCGCTGTTTAAAAGTACTGATCGTGAAAAGAGAGGAAAGTTCTCTACTGACAATGGAAAAAAATCGTAAAATATATATCCAGACGTAACTTTTATACTAAATTTGTATCCACTAACAATGTTAAGCTATCGTATTAACATATATTCTAGACATGTTAAGAAAGTATTTCCCTCCGAGGAAAATCATTAGTATTTGATCGAATTTAAGCAGTAGGTCTGTTACTGATTCATTTCATATTTTTCCATTATTGACCGTTGTTCTGACCTTTGTTCCTTATTCTCGATTCATCAGGCAAAATAATTATCCTACGAACTTCATACAAAAAATAATAATAGAAAATAAATACAACGTAAAAAGTCTGGTTGATATGTTTGAATTTTGTAGTGCATCGTTGAAAAACCAATTCATTTCAATATAATGATGCTATGAACGTCCTTGGAAATAAAACAAAACAACAAAAAATTAACAGAAACTCTTGGTATATTGCAGTGCCTATCATTGAAACATCAACATAATTATAAAGGCTTTCAAACTTACTTGTCTCTTTTCTTTTAAAACACGTTTGCAAATGTTTTATTTTTACGGAATTCATTGTTTTATAGAACTGATTAATTCATGGTACATCCCCCCCCCCCCTAGGGCTTTTTCCTACGGAGAGCCAGTTATCCAAACGTCCCAATAGGACGCATATTCGACCATTCACTGGACACTAACACACTTGCGGGCTCCTCTGATCTGGGGCCAGCAGTACGCGCGGCCCTCCGCGACAACACATACATGGAGGACAAGGGACAAACATCTACGCCCACGGCGGGACACGACCCTGCGTGGGTACACGCTCTTAGCAACCTCGGCCACCCAAGTCAGCGTTTATGATTCATGATGGGAATAACTGAATTGTTTGGACGATGATAAATTAATAAACGATCAGCGCTTCAACCAGTATGAGAAAGGAAGAGCATTGGGTTGGAAAATTCCAAGAAAAGCTATTTCACTCAATAATGTAAGTGACTGCAAATACGTATTTGTGCGAAATCTACAATGAGTACGTTTTCACATATTATGTACATTTGCGCGAAACCTACGTCGAGTTAAGAGTATCGTGAGTTTATTGAACATCATAAATCCATTCGAGACCATCTCTTAATTTTCTCGAGGAGACAAAAGCAGGGCGGCGTAGCAGAGGACGCAATTGGTTTCCCTGGCGGCGGATATTCATTCACAACCTTAATTTCTACCGAACACAAGAATGAATAATAAAGTGATAGTAAACGACTGCTGTGAAGTGAGTGAAATATCAATATGCATTTCTTACTAATCAATGAATATTAATTACTCAATAATTTAGAAAGTGAAATTTCTCGGGAGAAAAAAAATGCCGAAAATTTAAGGATTTTGTTCGTGATTCCCGAGATAGGTCGTTAAACACGAGCATCATACCAATTGGACAACTCATCGATGCGGGGTAACTACAAATATCTATATTGTATTGCAAGTGCTTAACAATCAGAAACTGCAAAATATTCCTCTGAAAAACCGCATTGCTTTTTTAATTTTCTCGTCAGCTGTTGGCCAAAGTATTTGATGGCTACACCGGTCACTTAGCCGGGCTACCCCCTCGTAAAGGGGATCATTCGGTGAGCAGAACAATTCTCGTTACCCGATCGCCGCTGGATAATGAGGCGTCTGATTCTCGAGCGTCCCTCCCCGGCGGCGAGGGCGTCGCGGCGCAGGCGCGAGCGCGGGGCGGGCCGTCGCGGCGCGGCGCCACCGCCGCTGCCGCCGCCGGTTCAGTGCGGGGCCCGCGTGTCCCGGCGTGTGGTCGTGCTGCGGGAACGCCAGCGCCGTGCGGGAGCGAGAGCGGCGGCGGCGGGAGTGCGTGCGCCATGCGCGCGCCGTGGAGCGCCGGCGGCGGCGGAGGCAGCGGTGCCAGCGGCGGCCGCGTCGCCCGCGTCGAGCCCGCGGCCGCGGGCCGGGCAGATGTTGCTGCTGGCCCGTGCTGCCCTGGCGTGCTCTGCGGGCGGCCGGCGCGCTCGACCTCAAAGGTAAAGGGAAACGGGCACGCGGCGGACGAGGGCGCGTGAGAAGCGATCGATGAAGTGACGAATCGAGAATGAGCAGCCTATGATTTTTTGAAAAAAAAAATCTCAATACATGAACTTTCAAGGAAAATGGTTACCTTGCCACTTTTACCCGGAATTCTGAAATGTAAATTGGACTGTTCGTGCAGAATGGAAATACCTTGGCATGGGTTCGAAGATTTATACGAATCGTTTTAGTGTCAAAAGAATAACTATTTGTGGATCAAAGAAAGAATTAAACGACAGTAGCAGGCATTTTCTTTAAATTCTCGATAAATGAACATTCAAGGACAGAGGTTACACTAGTTCCACTTCTTGCCCTAAACTTTTGAAAGTTATAATTGGAACTTCGAGCAGCATGGGATATATGCCCTGATTGAAGTTATTTTCGATCTCTTTTAGTGGTCCAAGAAGGTGATGAATTGGCTGCGGATCAAAGCGACGATAACGATGTATTTACAGGCATTAAGCACTTTTCCTTTAAAACCGATAAATGAATTTACAACGACAAGAGTTATATATTTATCACTTTTACGGAAAATTTGAAGTATAATGGGACTATCGTGTTAGAATGGATTACTCTATCATGATTCGAAGTTATTACGAATCACTGTTAGTGGTCAAAGTAATTATACATATGTTTGTCATTAAGGGAGAGTCTAAAATATTAAAAGAAAACGATCGACAAACTGATAAAATATAAACTTTTAACAGCTATATTATCATAAGAACAGTGACAGTTAAAAAAGTAGGATATGTCGTTTCAAGATATTGGTCATCTTGAGTCATGCGGAGATAAGTATTATGAAGTTTATAACAGAAAATCATTGTATATACTGCGTACAAGACAAGGAAGTAACACAAGAAAATGTGGTTGTTTTTAATATTTCTCATTCATTTTTCAATTACTGAAGTTTATACTTACTTCTGAAGTCGTGTGTTAAAAGACGTATATGGAGCGAAAATTAATTTATTATTACTCCATGAATGATTCGTAAGTGACTACTTCTTCGGTATATTTTCAAAGTTCTTGCGAGCTTCTTATTCTCTTAAATCCTTCACGAGGGCATCAGGTAATCATTTTGTAAGCACTCTTTTCTTGATTTATGACTAACGTACATACAATTTGGAAAACGTCCAAAATGTCTTGATTGCAGGTTTATTTGTCGCAAAGCGAAATATCATAAATTTTATTGCAAGAAAGTGTAATATCTTTAATATTTCTCATTCATTTTTAATAATATGCAATATAAATAATGCATTTAAATTCCTGTAGACATCAGTTTCTTCGAGAACAATCGTAAGCAATCTAACTAACCATAGGGCTACTGCATTTTGTGGCTATTAATAGAAGACTTCTATGATGTCTATTGCTAAATAATTTCCTTGATATGTTTGACAATTGTTTTGACGCTCCCTTGTTTATTTGACATTAAAGGTGATTAACATGATTGAGAACGCATGCAAGATATTGTTTTCACGCTTCTATGCTAATCACTATTCTTCAATCTTCCTGAAAGAACACACCGACGAAGATGCATGTGATGTCGAGGGTGAGAGAGATAGCGTTTCTCCGGCATGATTCTAAATTTGTCATAATTTAGTCAAACGAAAATAAGTTTTTAAAAATATCCGCAAAAAACTCCAATATCTCAATTTGCAAAGACATTGCTTATCATATTAATAATAATGTCATAGACCCTCACGTAATTGTTACTTCTATCAGATAATGACCAAATGTAAAAATCACTGCAAATGATCAATAATTCACAGAAAGTTATACTCTAATTCTTGAAACCAAGTAGAATATCGCCAATAATAAATAAATGATACGTTCACACTAATATAGCTAAGAGTTTTCATCCATAAATCTGGAAATGTTTTTTACTGAATTATCACTTTCTATGTATTCTATTATTGATTCGTATAACTTTTCTCCTTAGTTTTCAGAAGTGTTTTTTTCAGTTGTGGTAACATTACCGCTATCTCCCGTGATAAAAAAGCACTACACTTACAGGAATAATAACGTTAGCAGTTGACGCGCCTGAAAACACTAATCATTAAACAAATTGAATTCCAATCTGAATGTGAATATTTTCCCTTCCTTAAATATTGTGTTTCATCGAGATATTTGGGTATAGATTTTCAGACGGAAGGAATTACACCGGCCACTTTTTTCTCGTGTTTGTGACGAGAGTATAAAGACGAAGGAAGACTTGTATTCAGGCAGGAAGAGACAACTTTGAACATTTTCAACAAAAAATTGTGTTTCGAGAATATTTTCAATTGTAAGTACGAACGCATACTTTGTAATAATACAACAATTTGGGGCTGACGGTTTGCCTTAACGTTGCCTGAAGGTTGGACAACGAGTGCGCGAGGTGTCAAAATGCACCTGGCAAAAAATACGATCGTGCAACTCCAATTATATGCACCCGTGTAATACAGTTTTCTTCTTTCTGAATGAAAAAAAGTGATCGCAAAAGTTCTGTCATTGAGTTTTGATACGGACATTTGATTCGCATTTTTTATTTGCAACTTGTCATTATAGGTAATTTGTTAAGATATAAATATAACCATATTGACAGAGACTTCGTCTCGGCTGGCGATAAAAAGTCATCAGTAAAACCCTCGTCAGAAGATGAAGAAAGGGAATTCAACTCTATTATCATAAAAATAAAGGAATTGGTAAATGGGAGAGAACATATTGTTAGAAATAGAGGTAAAGGTGGTAATGTGAGCCATGTATATAATATGAGCCCCCTTAATATCTGTTCATATACTGCCAACACTCCTGCAGGAACGACTATAACTACAAGTTTACGAGTTGTAACTTCTTTTGCCATCATAGTTCTGGGATTCAGTTGTGAATGAGCGCTGATGTGTAACAGAGGTGTTCGTATTTTCTCGGTTGTAAAAACTTTGGAAGGTAAGCCTGTAGCTTTTAATTTCAATTTGAGCTCACTTAGACGGATTCTGATTCCTAACGAATGAAAAACCGTATATTTGAAACATTGTTTTATGACCGAAATATATAATTTCGATCGTAACAAAGGCCGATTTTGATTAGCAGAATTTTTATACAGATGGTTGTAAAATGAGCCTCCTACTATTGTGAGTAAATGAGCCTCAAACTTTAAGAGGCTCATATTACGTACATTTACACTTGTCTTAGTACTATTTTTGTTTTAGATGCCACGAAAAGGGGCAAAACAAAAAGGAAAAATTGGAATACCGAGGAAATAGTTAATGCAAAGTGGTTAAGAGCAAGGAAATAGATTTGAAAAAGGTTTCCATTACCTTTCTCGAACCAAGACCTATTTCAAATGATTGCTCGTGTTGACAAAGTTTCAGAAGAAGCAGTATTAACTAAATTAGGAAGAAAACCTATACTGGGGATTGTGCTGGAAATAGTCGAGTGTCGAGCTTGTCACAGAAAGTAAATTCTGCGGTCTCATCAGAAAATATTTTCGCAGGGTAGCTCACCAACGTTGTAATAGAAATGTAATTAAACACATATTCAAGAAGATGCATTAGCCGGTACCGATTGGTTCGACCATTTTATGAATCGCTACAATTATGTTTAAGTTTCTTAGGCACCTCCTATTACATCATCTTCTTACAAGAAGGCTCTTATGGCGGCTAGAGAAAAATCATATGCCTACAGATAAAAAAATGGAAAGTTGAAACGCAATAAACAGATTTGTACGAAAACCAAATCCGCACATTAGAAAGTTTTCAAACGGAAACTTCCTGAAGAAGAGGAATGAGAAATCAAACTACTCTATCAATTAAGGAGTCTGTTTTGGAATCACTAGAAGGGGTTGAAAGTCCCTGTGTTGGCCAAACGCCTTGTTTGTTTTGTGGTGGATTATTTTCGGCTGACCATTGTAGAAAACGTAGTCCACCGTTCACCGTAGTCCAGATAATTGTGTGAAAAATGACTGAAAATCCCCCTCGAGAATGGATATATGACTATGTAGTAGCATGATGCTTTTCCATGCATCGCTTTTTCAACCACATTCAGTCTTTCCTCGTTCAATCAGAGGGCACAGGATTTTGCGCTGAAAGCCAAGTTCGCATGAGCAGTGGCTATTCCCCAGTACTCGTCTTCCAATAAGCGGGGCTGGCCAAATCAAGTTTCACCCCGATTCAGCCTACGGGCCGCAGTGGAGCGCTACATAGGTGTGGGCATGGTTCCTCTGATGCAGTGGCCGCCAAACTTCCGAAGGTTGTGAGCAATCATAACGTTTTCAATCCTACTGAGGGCACCAAGAAACGAAGTCAGACATTTTTTCTTTCAAATTTTAACATTTATTTTCGTATTATCTATAAACATGTACCTCTATTACATATAAAAAAACGTACAACCGCAAACACGACAATTCGTACGAAGGCTTTCAGGCAGACGACGCGAAGTCTGAAAGTGCTAGTGAGCAGTCAATGCGCAGTGGCGGCCCCGGCGCGCAAATTTGGCTGACCCCTTACCCTTACCATTAGTCTGGATGGAGAGGCGAAGATTCCAAGCACCTAAGCAGTGGTACCCTTGAAGATTCGGAAGAGGTTAAACAAGAACTCTCGTCTTAAAAAGTATTTAGTATATCTTCGTTTCGTTTATACATTCATTCTCAAACGCTAACCTTCAGAAGGATGTTCTGTTTGTGAGCGTATTTAAACAGGAATTACATGCGAGGAATATTTGCCGACAAAATAAAATATCTATATTGATTGATGGCTTCTTCGGTGGTTTTTCTTTGTTTAGAAATACCATTATTTGGAAGCAAATGGGAGAACCGATGAATGAATGAACTACAAATGCATGTATTTGTATTCCGCTTTGTTTACCGAAAATATAAGTGTTTAAAGAAAGCGGCAAATGTTTGAAGGAAAAATAAAGCTTTAAATTTCCAAAGCAAAACAGGGATGTTCGTAGTGGAGTTTAGAATGCGCTGTAATTTTGTACTTAAATAATAAAGGTTACTGGACTTTTATCAAGAGAGAACGCCATAAGTGTGCGTTTACTTAAGAAATGATGGTATTAGCTTAAAAACAATCTACAAATGTGATTCTAATTACATTAAATGTTTAACGATAACACGTCGTGTGTTCTATTTGATATACAAATATCATTAGCAATTTCATTGTTGCGAATATTCGCTTGTATTGCTGTTATTACGATGTTAGCTTGGAGCTGGTAACATTGATTCAAGGGGACAGACCAAGGCAAGCCGTAGTTCACTGGTGTCGTGGCTTCATACTGTATTTTGGATGAAGCAAACCTGCAAGTTATTGCGCGTTAATAATGGATAAACAATGAATTGAACGAAAAAGACAGAAATGAATAGACGAAAAGCTTTAAAGTTGGAACATTTTGCTTTATACTATTCTTTCAGAATTCTTCGACAATAATAGTACGTATTAGTTTAGGTTCTTGTTGTGGTGGAGTAATGCAAACATGTATTTACGATCTGCAATATTTGTTAGTAAAATTTTATTTAGTTCACGAAATGCAAGATTAATTAATTAATTTATTAGTAATTCTTTTCAAAAAATCTCTTGTTAAATCTCTCTTCAAAAAACCATTGATTGTTACACTCAAATTGATTCTTTCTATCTCTCATGATTACTAATTCCTTACCAGAACATTCATGTTTTCGGTTTAAAATATTAAAAAAACTGAGTGATATATTGAAGCTAAGTTATCTTAGTTTTGGAGAGAACCTGATATTTTTTCAGAGTAGTTTTGATGACTTCAAATTAATTTTCGAGTTCATATTGGTTGTTTATGTTCAGTATTTTAATACATTAGCAGATACCACAGTTCACACATACTTAGGAACCTTTGATATGTTAATCTGACCCTACATCCTTGTAAGTGTTGTGAACAAGGAAAAAATGACTTCCGTTTGGTCTAAAGATGAATTTATATAAATACATGTAACAAGTTAATTGAACATGATCGAGTTGTTAATAAATGTCCAGGGAAACCACCCTAAATATTAATAATGCTTCGTATATTGGTTTTTCTCTTTTTCAGTAAATAAATATATGGTATGTACACATAACGTGATAACATTAATGTGCACAACGGTACCGTTTCATGGGTTCATTTATTGTAATCTGTCGAAGTGTCATATACCTAATATTCATTATGATATGTGATGAAAACTTAACACGTGACAAAAGAACTCATTTCTAATTGATTAATTTCTTGTAGGTACCACTAATATTCACATTTCATAATAATTATTTCATGAAGAACCTGGAGGGTTAGTTCTATAAAATTTACCATGATAATAATTAATATAATAAAAATGAAATTTAACTAGTAATTTTACCGATTGAATAAGTAGAACGGTTAACAACTGTGTCAATTCTTCGGCAGTGTCTTAAGAAGATTTGATTTTAGAAAATTGTTTCTCTACTGATATTGAAGGAGTGCTGGAGAAGCATAATGACGGTAGCACGAATATTCCTTAAATTAATTATTATGTTGCAAGTAAGAAGCCTAAATGCTTCTTCCAGTTCCGATTTATTGTGATTAATATACTACTATTTGAAGTATGTGAGTACATTAACTTTCATGGTGATAATAAAGTTTGGTTGAATTTTGTACAATGTATCGTTATTTGTCACTCAGATTAAACCTAATACAGAATTGAGACAATTTATAATCCCTTTAATTTTCGATATATCAGAGTTGTAATTACATTTAATCTGGTCGAGCTTCCACGAAACTAGCATTACGAAGATACTAATCTATTTGTATTAAAACGTTAGTCGCAATAAAGTTCAACACACTCGTGGCGGTAGAGGGCTGGAGCAAGTAGAAAAAACGGAGCGATAGCGTATCGGCGGCGGCAGAGTTGCAAAAAGTTGATGCATTGCTGGCGCTAGCGAGCAGACGCGATGCGGCATCTTGGGCGCAGGGCGGCCGTCCCGCGGCAGGAAGGAATGGGATCGTTTATCACGAGCCAAAAGCGACGGCCGTTTCTCTGGGCAAGGCTTCCCCGAGGACTGTGCTTTCGGGACGGGAGCAAGGCGCGAGCAGCAGAAAAAAATGTTGATGGAGGGTGGCGCTTATGCCTCAAATTTCGCACGGAAACCAATTGCCCAAACTGAGTTGGCTTATTAGTGTTAGCTGTTTGTCAGTATTTCATGAGTAGATCGAAACGTTGTGTGTCACGAGTAGATCGAAATGCTTAATGGCCTATTTATTCAATCAAGTATGTGTGGTTATGATTTCCACTCTTGACAAAATAAGGTAACTGTTAGTTCATAGCTTACTGGTGTGTGTTCTATATTTATTCCTATTTTACTTTCTCGCATGCTACATACTTAGTGCACAGAAAGTATTATAATCCTGGTCTGAAAATAGGCGAATTTGTTTTATAAAAAAATACGAATTGTACGGCCATGACATCGAAAAAGTGAATAAAACTGGTTCGTTTCTAAATTAATTGCTTTAATACGTTGGGTAATCAGAAATCACGTTTTGTAGATCCTTGATATCCAGAAAAATTGAGTCATAGCCAAACGTCCTGAGTTCGTCGTTAAGCTAACGCCTAAGCCGATCAGACGATTTTTTCGAAAATTGATATTCTTTCATCGAACTGGCCGAGTTCATGCGACTTTGAGCTTTTAAATAAAGTCTTAAATTTTCAAAATCTTCTCAAAAATTACTCTAAACTTTTGGATTAATTTTTCTCCTCAGAATTCTAGCGGCCGGCTGTTAAGTGTTTTCTGTGGTTTCTCCGCACAACACCAGGCGAATTCCAGAGCAGATTGTAACAAATGGGCCACAGACTGCGCACGATATTTCCTTCCTTTTCCTTGCCCTATTATCACCCCTTACACACACTTACATGGTTGTTCCGGCTGGGGGTAGATTCCTGATTAGGGAAAACCCGCAAACCGACAGCGATATATTTACCATAAAACTTGCATTACACTTACGGGAGTAAGAACCTTAGCAGATGATGTGCCCGAAATGACCAATCAATCAATTTTACTCAGCTGAAGGAAAAGTTGCTTACAAATTTGTGCAGATTTTATTTTCTTTAAACTGAATTTTTCAAAATTACAAAAGTCTATCATTTTCACAACATTTTCTGCAACAACAACTTTAAAGATAGAATTTGTCTTAAGGAAATCTATTTTTCAATGATAAATCTTTAAATACAGTCATGTACAATTTTTCGAAAATAAAAGTTGTTTTCGCATAATTTTGCTTCAAATATAAGCAATTTTTAAACATTTTTTTTCTCAAAAACGTCCCAATTTTTTCTTTAAACATATTTTTCAAATGGAGATAAGAATGCCTATAATATCGCAACTCTTATTTTTGCTAACTCTCTGCATTTTCGAAAATAGAACAAAAATTAACATGGCAAAATTATTATATATAATGTTGATACAGGTTTTTCTTTAATAAAATCTGTTCTAAAAATGCGATCTTCAAAACAAACATTACGCATAAAGTTGCGGAAAAAACAGTAGATTTAGCGTAATGTTTGCCTAAAATAAAGGCTATTTAAAAAGTTTTTTCTCGAAAAAAGGCTCCAATTTTTTTCTTTGTTTTTTATAATCTCTATAAATTTTTGAATATTGCATATTTTAGAAAAAAACGCGAGAAAGTAGTAGAATCGTCAATTTATTATTTTATTGTAATGTTTTTTCACTCCTCTTTGAGGACTTATATAAGTTTGAGTCGCCATTGGCGATTTCATAAGTTTAATAGTTGATGGATTATCTGTGTGTTCGTCAGCTTGAAGACATGATTGATGGTTTTTTTAAGAGGAAGTGCTTCTGAGATCTCTGGTAACCTCAACATACTGTTCAGTCTTTCACAAATGATGCGCAAAAAAATTGCGACACATCAATATTAAGCTCTCGAGTGTGCGGACTTGCGGATGTTCAGATGTGTGTTTTTGCTATTCCACTGGCGTCTTGACCCTTCCACCAATCGAGACGTATGAGATGTCATTAACGCGTCTCGGTCTCCTGATGGGAAACTGATCATTAGTTTTCGGATCCCGCTAGAAGATTTAAAGAAATTTCCAAAAATATGTTTTTCCCTGTTTCGGCGCTGCGATCTTAGTGATAATGCCAGGAATTAAACCAACGCCTCCTAAATCGATCTATGTAGGTGGCGTTAATTAAATACTAGAATCCAAATGCAATTTTGCTTAATACGCCATAATTTTCTTTCACAACCTTGGCCACACTGATATCTTTCAATGAACAACTGAATTACCAAGTAAATCGCGCTGCAGTTTGATTTCAATTTCGAGTCGAATTATTATCGTATTTAAAAAAAATAAATTTGCAAATACCTACGAACAGTATTGCCTCGGAACTTATTGAACTTGAAAAATTTCAAGTGAATATGGAGAAAACAAAACTGTGAGTAGTGATAGAAAATGAATGAACGTTATGTTCGACTTCATACTTTTACGTTCTTACATAAGTGTGCAAATACGTTTTCAAACGTATGTGACGCACAACTTATTCATGTTCAAATTAACTAACACCTTATTTACGTAAACGTACAAAACTGTCACCTTTTAATGTTAGATTCGCATGCAACTTCAGATTCACATACAAAACGATTAATAGAGCAATTGCAGAAGTAGAAGTGAACACAAATTAGGCTGAGTTTGTGAAGTTTTAATCTCTGCAAAAATTTGAGGAGAAAAATATTGAAGTGTTAAGAAAATCCGAGGAATAATCAAATGTAGTTGTAAAAGATGTTGCGATAGAACTTTGGGAACTAATTTAAAATGATCTGTAATTTTGCATTTAGCATTTGTGCTAATGCAAATGGGCTATGTGCATTTCTGTGTATATTACCAAAAAGCGTAAAAATGTAGCTGTACTTAAGTTTAATTATTAGCATCAAAACCAGCAAGTATTTGTTACGGCGATTACAATTTTGAAATTGCAATAAAACCAGTTCATATTCCAAATGGAGGTAACACAAGGCCATTGGGGGTTGGGAACTTTTGGACAGTAGTATAACATTATCAGCTACTATGATTGATTGGTAAGTCCAATGGCAGATACTGAAATATCATATTTAAACAAAGCTGGACATGAAAGAAATGAAGTATAAAAGAAGTTTTCAACACATGAAACTATATTTAAAACAGTATACAGCGTCAGCGACACCACACATTTTGCTAGTGATTATATATTTCTGTATCTCAGTGCACCATTTGTTACTTTTGAGAGCGGTGATGTTGGAAATACCAGGGTAATTTCGGTTTTTTACTCAATTGAAAATTGAACAAATATATTTTATTAACGTACATATCTAATATAAGAGAATATTTAATTTTAAACAGCCTCTCAACATTCCCACTATTTGAGTATAGCGGTGAGGTTATTACGAAACATTTCTGAAACTTTTAATCGGGTCTTAAATGTGAGTTAGCACTTCTAGGTATCTCACTCCAGGATACGGATGGTCAGAGGTGTGCATAATGTGGAATTCTATCCAGTTAAATTGTGAACAAACATTGTGAGCAATTCATTCGCCGGGCCTAAGAGTCTGTTATTAATGATTATGGGCCTTGAATGCGTCCTATGTCGATTAGGGTATACTCATTTGGAAACAATCTTGAGAACGGGTTAGGCCGTAGTGTTGACTGCAGACAGTCACTCGTTTTGTCTACTCAATGTCAAGGATCCGCAATACTGGATTCTGATTGAATTTTGTATTCGAGAACGTAATTTACTACGTATAGGAGCAAGACAATCCAATTTTTTTTTCAACTCTTTTCCTATAACATTGCAATAATGTCTTTTAAGAACGTATATGAGAAAGTAAAGAGAGAAAATAAATAAATAATATTCGTTCTACTTCTCACACCCGACTAAAAAGCTCCACCCTCTGAAAGTTATAAGCAAATGGGAATCCTATAAATCAGGGACTCATTCTAAGAGAATTGTTTGCGTCATCAACCGCCTTACGTTTTCTCTATGACATAGATCACCCATAAACGTAAAATAAAGAATTTCATATGCGCTAAATGCTTTAAAGATAGTAATTGCGTACGCATGTTTTCTTGTAAATATCTCGATTTTAAGCAGGTAAGTTTCTAATCCTCTGTTTAAAGCAATAATTACAAAATGTTGACCGGCTTTCATGAGTATGTCCTGCCTTTTCCCGTCAATCACCAACAACACTCGTCTTCTATTATCCTCTATGTGTAGATATTTTCCCAAAGGGTTCCATCCACGTTCTCCTGCGCATATCTATTCATTTGTTATCCACACTTGCCTTTTAATTGGCGTTGTATTCGACGACCATAAATTCATTTTTTTCTGTCCAATTATAGTATGGATTTCATTTTACATTTTCGCTTTCTCTGTTCACCAAATCAGTGTCACGCATTACCATTTCTATAAAATATTGTGACAATATTTTGTTCCCCTCGTATTTGCATTTACGTTTCTTCATTTTATTTACAAAACCATTTTATATAACTGTCGATAATTCATCTGTCTCCCATTCTTGCCGCTTTTCTTTTTAATCACGAATATTTTACATTTTTCGACATCTTTGACATGGCCAGAAATGACTCGTCTCAACTTCCCTTTGCAGATTATGCAATGTTGTTAACCTTTGTTAGCGGTATTGTGACATTCTAACACCAAGTTCTTTAGTCACGTTTACGAAGTTAACATTCCTCATCAATTGGTTAACTACTCGCACTTTGGTCCACACGTCATTATTCTTCACTATACGTTTTCGATATTTGCGATGGTTCATCTCTTGAGATATGATCCATCACTTATTTTGACTGCGGTTGTATTTTCCTTACTTCCCTGATGCTTTTCGCGTAATTGAATCATACCGACCACCCAATTTCGTTATTACGTATTATGCAGCACTGAAATGGGAAATTTATCCTCGTAGTTTGTTCCCACCTTTCTGGATATTCGGTATAATTTACGGGATCTGGATTACTTTTTAATGTTGCCATTACATCGGGCCATCTCTTGGTCGAGTGATAATTTGCTGGATGAAGATACATCAAACAGCTTCATTCGAACATTTTAAGTTATTATTTCTTAATTTAACTTCTTACGAAATTGCGATTATGGATCTTTTTCATCCATACAATCACAATACAAACGTACATACACCGGCTTGGATAGCCGATGTCGCTAAGGCTGCCTTGGCTCTAAGACGCGCGGGTTCGAATCCTGCCACGGTCATGGATGTGTGTGTGTGTGTGTGTGTGTTCGTGTTGTTCTTACAATTCCACTTACTGTTACAACAAGCACAGTGGTTGCTATGTTACTAAGTTGTTAAAAAGTGACCTCAGAAAACAAAAACAAAAAACAACAACATACAGACAAAACAGCAAAATCGTAAAATTCATCAGAAAAGAGAGACATCTATGTCGCATCCCTACCAGAGGGAGATACGGGTAGAGGCCGGCCGGACTGATAAATTCGTAGTTTATTTTGTTAATCAAAGAAAGCAAATTATTCTATGAAATCGTCCACCTTGTTCAGTCTCGAAATATTTTTTCGTTATTTTCGGTTGTTTTTTATCGTGGAGAAACTTCAATTACAAATACCAAGTTTCTGACATTCTTTTGTTCGTTGGTAGTTTTTGAATATTTTGCTCTTTGATTTTGTGTTAAATCAAGTTAAAAATTTCCAAGTCCATATTTTACTTGGTTATTTACTTTTTTTTAGATATTTGATATTCGGGTCTCAAACAAGAATTAGATCTGTTTATTTGAATTGTTTGCTTCAGTACAATTGGAAATACTCTCAAAATATACTATTTTTGGAAAAGAATCACTCTCTGTCAGCTCCAAGATTGGCAGAGAGAACAATTCAGAAAGACGTCCATTCCTGCCCCTGCATTTTATTGTGTTTTTTCATATTCTATACTAGTGTTTATTGACTGCAGCAGCTCATACTGGAAGGTGACGCCCCAAGCGCCCGGGGACACGGTGATGCTCACTCGTGGCCATTTTATGCGCTCGTTCGTGCTGCGCTCTACCCCCTTTTGTGCCCACTCGCCGGTTATTGGATTTACGCCAGCGTACTTCTTTTTTTAACAGGACATTTTCCAGCGATGAAAATCCTAAGCAGCTAACTAAAAGTAGAGGCCTCCACGTATAAAGTCAATCTCTGATTTGAAATGTTTATAACGACATACCGACGTTCTTATTGTATGATTAGACTTCATTACACATTCGTTTTCCCAAATTTTATTGCAGACCTGGTTTAACTGCTGTGTGAGGAATATAACACAATGGAATGGTGTTCATTTCAGAAACATAGTTGAACGATTTATGGAATTAGGTGAGCCCTGGAAATATAATAAACCATGCCTGATTTATTAAAGCTTTTTTTTAGCTGAGTCCATGGTCTCCTTCACCTGTCGAGGTAATAGTGCGATAAAGGCGAGTTTTCGCTTTGCACCCGAGGTGAGCAGACGTCTGTCGTTATGCAGTGTTAGCCCTATGGCCTCTTTGGAGCGAGCCCTAATCCCATCTTTAAGCTACTGGCAGCGTGTAAGCGACTTTGACAGTTCAATGCGCTGTTATGTTACATCACTACGCACATGACACTACTTACATCACAGATAAATTAAATCTAAAATTATTAACGCTTACTGAAAGACTATGACTGAGCGTGATGTCATGTTCATAACTTTTGCCAAAGCCGAACCTTATCGCCTCCGCGACATCGTGTAAGTCAGCTGAGAGGCAACGCTGAACCCTGGCTGTAAGAAAGTAAATAAATCATCGCAAGCTGATTGCTTCAAAGTAGGTAAGTGCCTCAGCACAGTAAGAAAACTGTCAAAGTCGCTTATACGTTGCCGGTACTGTAGTGGGCGATAACCTTCTGCATCGGAGCAATTGTGCAATGTTGTAGCCAATTTAATACCGTTCAAACGTATAGACGTAGTGCTACGTAACTAGTTTTTATCAATATCGTGTCAAAGATGTTATTTTCAAATTATTTATATTTCCGAAGGTAAAATATAGATTGTTTCTTAAACATTACATTTGCAATCTTTATTACTTATTAGTTTATTCGAAACTTGCTTGTACTTTCTACACATTAGGGAGGTGTCCTACTAGGGGTTCACTAGTCAGGTTCAATGTTTTATAATTTGATTTAGAATATGTGGAAAGGATATTTGTTCCGTAGTCTGGTTCTATGTATTGGATTTTTTGTGAAACTAAATGCGGTGAGTTTTGGGATTTGATGTTTGGTATTATAGAAGTTTGTGGCAAGGATGTGATGTAGTAATCCAATGATTCATTGTTGAATTCCGTATGAAGTTGATTATTGATAGTGAACCACAGGACGTCAGTTATGGATTTGAGGGAATGGTTTTTGATTATTTGAAGTTTTGGGATATTTGTATTGACGGCATTAATCGATATGGGATATGTATAAGTAATTAGGGGCCAACATGGTTGGTCGAGGTGGTTAAGAGCATGTACCGACTCAGCGCTTCGCTCCGGTGGGTCGCGGGTTCGAGTCCCACCTTGGGCTTGGTTGTTTGTCCCTTGTCTCTCATGGATGTGATGCTTAGAGCTTCGCTTTCTACTGGCACCAGATCAGGAGCCCGCAAGTGTATTGGTGTCTAATGTATGTCGAATATGCGTCGCATTTGGACATAAAGGGTAACCGACATTCGGCAGGATAAAAGTCCTAGAAAAAAAAGTAATTGTCGGGTATTATTATGGATTTGTGTATTGCTATAGCAATATTAAATTGTAGTGACCATTATCGATTTAATTTATGGAGTTTTTGCTTTGATTTGTATTAACTTTGTTTACAAGTGATCGCTCCAAATTAATTTTATGTGGACATATAGTCGTAAGTATTTAAGTGGTTTATTGGAAGGGTACCGTTATATTGACATTGGGATGACACCTACATGAACATTAATCAACGTTTGCAATAGTGGTGATCTTTGAGGCGGTCCTGCTTTGATACATCTGGGATCATTGACATTGACCTTGACCTTGACCTTGACATTGACATTGACAGAAGTTTCTATTGCCGACCTGAGTAGTCGAGGTCACTAAGGCTAGAGAGCAGTAGCCGCCTCAGCTCGAAGGGTTGCGGGTTCGAATCCAGCCTCGGGTATGGACTTTTTTAGGGTTCGTGTAATTCTTATGTATTTTTACTAATTTCCCCTACAATTAAAGCAGTTACAGTGGCCGTTGGATGGCCAAATTGTTAAAAAGCGAGCTAAAATGATTTTGTTGCCTGAGAAGTTGTTAATGATTGAGGGTATAGTCAATGCTAGCGCGTCAAGCGTTCAGGTGATTTCCTCTCAAGTTGATATTCTCCGGTGCCAATGTCGAAACCCTGCTAATTTAAACGAATATTTTATTGGGGGTGGGGTTGTCTTGAAGTCCTAACTGCAATCTGAACATTTTCTTAAGAATGGCTCAAAAGTTTCATAGAAAACTTTCCCCCCGTATAGAACCATGACACTTAAAAAGGCGCAGGTAATAATTTTGTTGAATTTTCAGAATTTTCGAAAATTCCTGAAGTTAAATTTGTTTCGGCATATTCCTACAGCTACAACATTGAAGAAAGATATTTTTATGAATGGAATCTGTTCTTCAGAGAGAGATCTATACATTAGACCTTGTAACATTTTCAAAAATGTAAATGGTTTTTACATACACAATTTTGAATAAAAAATAGGCAACTATAATCTTTCCAAAAACGGCTCCAAGTTTTAATTTTTCATCTCAGAGATAGCAAAGGCTGATGAAAAATGACACATCCAATTTTCGGCAATCGTTATATTTTTCGATAATTACAAAATATAAACGTTAAAAACGTTCTATTTTTTCCTTTAACTCAATTTTCCCCGCAGTATAGAGCAAAGGGCTCTTAAAAGAAAGCATAGGTCTCATTTTCGTTGAACTTTGAATTTTTTAAAATTACAATCGTTGGAAATAATGTGAGAAAGTATCTGCTATTGTAACGCCTCCAGTTTTTCTTTCTTGCGTAGTGTGGGCTCTTCCTCCGTTTTTTTACTTTCTCTTCTCTACACCCTTCTCCAGCGCCAAATTAAGGCCAATGCCTCGAGAGCTCTCGTAAATGTAGAATCTCGTGTTCCCGCGCCCATACGACCGCGTCCCGCCCATTACGGCTTATTCGGCGGACGTTGCCATCTAACTTATTCATTTACGAACAAACTTCGGCGGCGGTGGCGCGTCGGGGGAGGACATAGCCGTTTGCGGGCGGCATTCGGGCGAGCAGAGGCGCGGCGCCCCGCGGGAGGAGGTCAGGCCGTTTGCCGCGCGCCCTCGCGCTGTCCACCCGCCCACCCGCGCCCCGCTGCCGTCTTTTACGGGCTCCGCCGAACGTGCTCCCGCGCCGCGCTTCCGCCCAGCCACGCCGCGCCGCACACTGGCCCGAAGGGGAGACAACAGGCGCGCACAAGGGGCCGCCTGTGTGATGTGCGCGCTTCGATTTCGCGGCAAATGCCTGTTTAATTTTTTTCCAAAACACTTTTCGTTGTTAACATTATGAAACCATTTCTTGACCTTACCCTACCAACAGACCATAATTGAAATGCTTAAAATGCACATCTTCCCTTTAGTGTGAAATAATTTCTGTTTGCCCTGTAAATATGAATGCTTTTTGAAGCGGATTGATTGATATGTTAGTGATTCCGGGCGCCTCGATGGCCAAGGTCATTAGTCGTAAGTGTAATGCACGTTTTCATGGCGGAGTGTGTCTATGATTTTTCTACGCTAGTGGCGAGGCCTACAAGTTGACAATCTCTAAGCTCCCGACATGTGCGGTTGTGTAGCGCATGTAAATATGTGTTGAGTTGGGTGTGAGAATAGAACAAGGAAGAGAAAGGAAAGATTGAGCGTGGTCTGTGTCACGTTTGTTAGGGTACTGCTACGGCATTTGCCATGTGTTGATCGAATAAACCATAGAAAACTTCTGATCAGAGAAGTCGAATTTTACTTAGCTGCCTACCTAGAGTCGAAACTCTTGCCACCGTGTGGACTTGAACCCGATGACATATCGGTCAGAGGCACTGCAGTGACATCAACTGATTCTCTGAGTCACCTATGTCAGTTAAGCTGTGGGAAATGAACTGGAAAAGGTTCTTAGACACTGAGTTCGCTCCGAGCGACAACTGTTGCTATTGCAGCATAGCACTGATTCTGACCGGGAGGTCCTGAAGATGGTGGAGGAATTTTTGACAGCAGCTAACTAGTTCATCCATTGTCTAGAAGAGAATTGTAGCGGCCGGTTCCTCTGGCTGGTGGTTGCTCGGATCAATGCCGGGCGAATGCCGGAGCAGGCCCCGTTCAAATGAGCCATGGGCTGCACGCGATCTTTCCTTGATCATCCTTGTCCCCACCTCTCCCCTTTAACACATACTTTCACTTACACGCACTACACTTCCACCAGTCGAGCCTCTGCTTAAGATAGGCCCATTTTCTGCTGCAAAAGCCTAATCGGCTGCAGCTCTTTCTGAACCCCTAAAGCTAAAGAAATTCCCTTCGCTCTCGGGCAAATGGAGTGGGAAAAAATAATAAAAGAAAAAGAAGTTCCCCGGAGAGATACTTGGAGAAGGGAATCCCGAAACCGAATGTCGCATCTCGGGAGAGGAACACTGCTACGTTCGGGATTAAAGACCGTAGGAGGTGGAATCGTGGACTTCCACGGCCGGAGTCATCTGGCACTTGGCTGTCCGGGACGAGCCTCGTCACAGTCGGTGACGATTCGGTCATCATGTTGTGGCCTTCTTCTGAGCTCTGCTGCTGAGCAGCTCAAGCGACTGTGACGTGGCTCTTCCCGGACAGCCAAGATTCAATGACCGTAGCAGTTGACGCAATCGGGAAACAATCAATCGGTGAATGATTACATCAATCAAGTCTTCCTAGGTACAACACCAAAAAAATCCTGATCACCCTGACCCGTAAGTCAAAAGAGGATATAAAGAATGTCTTTTTCTACACTACATAATGCAATTCTACGAACCCTGTGTCAATGTACGATTAATTTTTATTTACTTTTTTTAAACTAAAAAAGTCATGTTTGCTTTCAAACACTTATGTACTATTAAAATAAATTTTTAAATTAACAATTTGTGAACGTAGACGATTGTTAGAATTGCATGCCCGCCACGTAGCGAGCGGAAGGTCGGCAGCTCCTGACGGTAACAACTAAAATCAGATGAAAAATCAATTCAAGGACGGTAGGTAGGTGGTGATGAAGAGTAAATGATGATATGCGAAAGGTTTTGGATGAATGGGTAGTGATTCAATGGGGCTACGTTTTGTTGTGAGTCAAACCACATCACAATCACTTGCTAAAATCAGCCCTGCTTTTCTCTCCCCATGTCACGGCTCAGTAGTCTCAGACGCTGCCCCAATTCCTACGCCACCAGGGGATCAGGACATTAAGAGTGAACGGGCTTTGAGGGGGTAGCTTAAAGGATCCCGCCGAGGGAAATAGTTACCGATAATATCATAAGAACCGACACCCCAAGAATTAGTTTATAGCGGTTTGAATAATAACTAGTATGGAGCGTATTTTAATGAAATGCCATTTTCTCTCTCTTTACAATGCCGTTTAGTATAGAAATTCATTTTGTGTTGTGACTAATAAGTCATTTTTTTACCATTTTACGTAATTTTTAATGCATTTTTTCGCTGATTTCATGAATTTTAATACCATTTTAATGGCACTTGCTTCAAATAATATTAACGATTTGGAACAAATGTTCATCACAGAATTCCTGAGTAGCTTATTCGATTTATTCACTCAGATATTGTAATGTCAGCCATTGTGAGTACTACGTAATCTAAGGTTCCTGTGACATCAATCAGCGCCATTGACTGAATAAAGGCCGAGATTTTCTTTTAAAGAATCCAAATCCAAATCAAAAGTATGCGATCTGAGTTGAACAAGAGGAAGAATCCACGATTACATCAGTAACTTATCCAACAGCTTGAGCTCTTAATCTGAAGTGGTTTTGATCAATTTTTTACGTAATTTTTCTTTGTTTATAGGGCATTTTAAAGTATTTTAAGGGCATTTTATTGATCATTTTTGACAATATTTTAAGTCATCAAAATCCGTCCCGTAATAATTAGAATGCGAAAGGGAAAATCATTCATGTTTTACTTTCATTTGCACCCGCTTCACACTTCGTTATACGAATGTCGAACTCGTATGTCGTTCGAAATGTTTCCATCCACATGACAGGATGTTGTCTATGCTACTCGCTCGCTCTTCTGATCCTTTCGGCCCACTGTAGGCCTCGTCCATAATGGCGGTTCGAGTTTGGAGGCGGTCCAGATTCGCGCTGGAACTGGCGAAGTCCGCGCGTTCTTTGTTCCGCGGTGGTGGTGGCGGGGGCGGGGCTACGGTGGCGCCGGCGGCGGTCGCGGCGCGTCGGTGTCCGGATTCTGTTCGCCGGAGAAAAGGCGGGGGTTCGTCCCGCACCCACAAAGGCGCGGCTGATATTGTGTTTCGCGCGGCCGTTGTTATGAGAAGATCGGGGGCAATGAGGGACGTATTGCTTTCGTGAAACCTGCGAGAGGATATAAATGTGATTTAGCGCGTGTCGTGTTCGTAATGGATGTTCTGTATTCTTCAAAATTGAATTCTGTCAGCGTTGGTGTACGTCACACCATATAACCAGATGGATGCCGTTGAAGATGAATGAGTATTGAACGAAAAGTTGCCCTGACAGTTGCCGTAATTGTTCAACCTAAATCACAATCAATACGTCATATTACTACAAAATTGTTGAGCACATCTGTCGGCAGTTGTGAGGGTGGTGAAGGCAATGTGTGAAATATTGCCATTATACTACAAAAATGGTTCAACATTGCACAGATAGCTCGTAGAAATGAATGGAAATGCATTATGATTATGATTATGTTATTTTCCGATGGAAAATTTTTAATAATTCCTGTAGAAGAAAAAAGTGTAAGATATTCTTTTAATACAAGTTATATTTTTACTTATTACTTTTTATGTTTTATATTTATTTTTCACCTTAGCAAACTTTATTTCTAATATTAATAATACTAATAATCAATTGATCATGTTAATTAACTAGATTATTTTAAAAGAGCTTAATTAGATTACGGGCAAATTTATAGAACATGCTAGTATTTTTATTTAATTGTTGTTTAGACCCTTATTTTAAATTATTGACAACCACAAAGAAAACTGCCAAATACTTTTACACAATTTTATTCACTAATAATTTTACATTATAATTTTATTCACAAGACGTCGAAAACAATTTTGAATTTTCTCAATTTTGGAAAAATCAGAGTTTTCAACCAACATGAGACTTGCGCCATCCACCTGAACGTCTGTCAGACTATTCAGAAACAAAATTTAATGAAACTCGATGGCGCCATTTTTTTAAAATTTTGAAAATGATGTCCCAGGGGTTTGTGTAAAGTACCCCCCAAAATTAAAATATCGGTTTCAAATTCAAGGATCCTCGACATAAGACGAAATTGGTTGAACGATTTAGCCTCTAGTGTTGTCCACAGACAGACGAACGGAGAGACGTTTTGCCGTCAATTTTTCGGTATTAAGGACCCACAAAACAGAGATTTTGGTCATATTACATGTTAGAGGATTTTTTTTGTAAATTTAGCATCTGGATTTATCCACTTTTTCGTTACATAATGGGTTCTGTAATAAGAGCTTTTCTGCCAAAATTCGCCGTTTTTCGAGCAGCATTACGTAACTTTCTCTTCTTAAGAAGTTCATCCTTAAGCGCGAGAATGTAAAAACGTACGATTGAAATATATTTATTAAGCCCCTTAAGAACCCAAAAAAAATATAACCTGAAAGAAAACGAAAAAATCACTTAAAAATTCAGCAGGAGAATCATTCATATACAAGCCTTGAAGTTTGTTGTCTTTGTAACTTGTAAGTAAGAAGAATTTGTATACTTTATATCAATGTACGATGTGTAAGTTACTAATAAACAAATGATTGTTGCCAAACCAAACAAGGCCAGTAGTTGACATTTTTGATACGGACGGAAAGTGAAAAGTTTAGTTATACAAATATCGGATTCCTGCCTCCAAATCACAAATAATAACGAATTTATAACACTTGTAATAAGTGAAAAGTTATCTTATTTAAAGGATATTTTTCGTAACATATTATTGTTAGATGAATTCGTGCTTTGAACGTAAGGGGAATGTATTTTGTAATATATTTTATTTACGTTTATTACGAAAAACCTTAGTAGTCTACTATGATATATCAAAAAGCCATCACACTACACGAGTCAATTCAGCAGCATTTAATTGCATATTGTAAGAGTTATGGGAGAGAGATAAGGAACATGTATATGAAAACGTTGAAAGGTGACAGAAATGTTCTGACGTTGTTCAGAAGCACTTTGAAGGACGATAGGTTGCTTAAGTAGAGTTAATGGATTCAACATTTTTCTTTCAGAAAAAAAAATTAAAAAAATCGTTTGAAAAAAACTTCTGATCGCCTTTAATCCTTTTGTACATTGTATTGTAAAATACAGTTACACCTGCTGTCTAATTTAATAGTTAAAAGAAAATACGAAAATAGTTCGATTGAAATGCGAGGGTTGGGGCAGAAGCGATAGTGACTTTTTTCTTAAAATAAATATAGGTTCCTACAATTTTATTTGTAGCATGAAAAATATACTTGACTAGCTTCTGTTCAGATCAACCGATGGCTCTGTGAGTATTTATATTAGCTCAGAGAGCAAAGAAAAATCGGTTGTCCGACATGAATGTAAGATGTTTCGAGCTGCACTCATCCTCCAAGACAACCGTTCTCGATAGGAAAAACGTCCGAGAATGTAACAGGGAACAGGTTGAAGCTCTTGGGAACAAAACCCTTGTGCGGTGATCTGGGCCATCCTGTCGTGGTCTTCCTCAGGGCTGATGCCTTGCATACGACCACGACAGGATGGTCGAAACGTCGGCAACACAGCCTCCGACGCGGCGTCACCCGGACAGCCCAGA